AACAGTAATCAGGTGCAGTAGCATGTGTGTATAATCCCTCTCTTGGGAGGCTCAGATTGAAGCGGGAGAGTTCCTTGAGCCCAGAAGTTCTGTACAAATCTGGGCAACATCACAAGATCCTGTCTCTAAACAGAAATGATTACAGCAACAAAGTTTTTGCCTTAGGTGAAGCTTGTATTCTTGTGGGGAGAGTCAAATAGTAAACAAAAATAGTGGGAAAAAGATATAGGCATGTGATAGGGTATTCAGGTATGGGATAGATTAGTTGGGAAAGGTTTTGCTGAGAAGGTTAACATTGGACAGAGGATCAGAAACAGGCTGGTCACGTGAAAGGAAAGAGTTGAGAGAAAGGATAGGTGAAGACAAAATGCAAAGATCCTAAATGTAGAGCACAAGGAGTTATTTACTCGAATGGTGTATTAGCAAGAGGGGAAAAGATCAGAGAAATAATTTGGGCTAAAGGGTCTCACATTTATAGTCCAATGTGAGAATTTAGACTTTTATTCTGATTAAAGTGGGAGAAGCTTTGCAAGGTAATGAGTAGAGAAGCAACATGATCGTATTTCAAGAGTCTGGCTGTTGAGGACACAAAGAGTACAGGGAGACCAGATAGGCTATTGTAATGCAGTCAAGAGAGAATGGTGACTTGCATTAGAAGTTTAACAGTGAAAGTTATGGAAGGTCATGGTTTGGACCTTTTAAAAAAGGTTGAAACAACAGGATTTACTGATCAATTGATAACAGTGTATGAATAAAGGAGAGGAGTCAGTCAAAACTCTACAAGGGATAATGAATTGAATCCTTTAGAGAAAAAGAGAGCACTGACTGATTTAGAATGGACTAAGAAAAAAAAATCTATTCGAACTGATTGAACTGGACTTGGAAAAATTTATGTGAAAAATACAGGGTTACGCATGAAAAGAATTGGCCTCTTGTAACATTTGTGAGATGTTCTTCTAGTTTTATGTGCAGACACATGGGGGGGATACAGATACAAGTGGAAGGATATTTTGGGGCTAATCAAGGAGGTTCCTACAGTGTGAATAAATCAGATATTTGTCTCAAGCATTGGGAAGCATGACAGGTGTCCATAAAAATGTAAAATACTGAAGCTTAGTATTTTAACTCTTGTTTCTTTTCCTCTCTGTCTCCTCTTAATATGAATTCTTCCTTCCTTCCACTCTTTATACCTTTTCTGCTGTGAAAACATTCTCTTTGAAAGAAATATATATGAAATGAACCCATATGATCCTGTGACTATCTCAGTATATTGTTGTTAAATGTTTTAAATTAATTTTTGTTGGGAAAATGTGGTTATTTTTGAAATAGTGGGAATATTTTAGAGGGAAGAAAATATTGTCTTTGGGCCTGAAGCCATGTTGATGCTAGATTGAAGCTGAAAATATACTTGCCTTGATTATAAATCCAATTAGAAGAACTGAAACAAAAGACTAAATTTTTTTTTTTTGATCCTCATTTCTTCCTCCCATTTGGGCCCCTTAACCTATATTTATTTATTTATTTTTTTTGCCTGAATTTCTTCATTTCAGAAATCTAGTTTGTTTTTATGGTGCCTTACTGATTTCTGTTACTTTGCTTTTTGCTCCATCAGTAGTAGTCAACCTTCCCAAGTGATCAGGTTTTCTTGAATAACAATTTTTATTGCTGCAGATTGTCTAGCATCTAAGATACCTGATGAGGGGCAAGTGAACAATGAACAGAATTTTACTGATACTTTCTGCATAAAATAGACAGGAAGATGCAGAGCTAAAAGAAAAAAGTATAAGAAAGAATGGCTATCATCCAGGAAAATCCAAGTTTAGTTCCATTGTGTCCAAAGAATTTTGTCTCTGCAGTATATGCCGAGCTGTGTGGTAATGAAAATTAGAGTGGATCAGGGAAAACTACTGATACATGTTGGAGAGCTAAAAGGAGAAAACTGCATTGCAAATTGCTAAAATTGCAATTCCTAGTTATTTTTATCAAATATTTACCATTCTAGACTATTATACATAGTGAACTGATTTAGGTTTTACAATATTTTGTTTTTTTAAAAGTAGTGAGATTTGTGTTTATTAAAGGTAGGAAAAGAAGCATACTCTGCAGAGTGGATGCAGGCCAGTTAAAAGTAGAAAAGTTCACACTACAGCTTGAGAGCAGACCACAGCGCAGGGCAAATGGTGCAGAGCTTATTGATGGCCCCTTTCGTATTTCTTACTCTTCAGGCCAACATTAGATCTAGGCCTTCCTATCAAAAACCTGCTTGAGTTCTCAAGCATTTCCTGATTGATTCCAGGTGCAGGTCTTGGGCATATGTGTCTTGTGTCTTTCTGATCCTGGTCACAACCACTTGCTCAGCTGGCCAGCCACACCCTAACCGCCCCCTCATTTCTCCCTGAGAGACATAAACTTTTATGGGTTTTTAGGGTATGGAGGATTCCGTGTTCATATGGCTCTCATCACAAAGGCTACTCCTTTGTGAAAGGGGCTGTAGGCCCTATCTACTGGGGATTATATGCTCTCTCCAACTACTTTGGTTATTTGTGGCTTACTGACTGGGTTGGAAAAAAAAAAACAGAAAAAAGTTAGTACTGTTGAGCTACCTGTTTGAATGAGAAAGGTTGGTGAATTTGTCAGGAGAGTGACTTTACTATCAAAGGGAGCAGGTCAGATTTCCATGTCTCTGTGGTGGATAAAGCATTGCAAAGAGCAGTATTAAATAAATTACTAAGAGCTTGATAAATTATTAAGAGCCATAGCCCCAACAAGGTAAAAATCAAATTATATCAGGTACAGGTACAAATTCTCTGTGATCAATGTGGTCATTATATATATCTAAAATGTACCAATAAAATCTAACTGGAAGAAAAAAAAGATTATCCACATTATAGAACTAACTGAAGAGTCTCAGTAAAGGTACCCATTTAAGCTGTGGTGAATTATGGGTCCTTAGAGACTCTATCCAGAGCAGTATTGGAGCCTTGCTTTTCAAAGAGGAACCTCAGGTCTTCCAGGGTTTCACAGAAGTAGCTTTCTTATTTCGGGTGGTCTTTTTTTGTCAGACAGTTGGGTTGGAGCTGGCTTTGTAATTGCCAGTCCTACCCAATGTATTGCCCATTCCTTCTCCTCTGTACAGGTTTTAACTAAGCAGCTAGTCTGAGGTTGGCAGAGTTATTGGGCAAGCTTTGTAAGCCTTTTGGGTAGTGGTCACTAATCCTAGTTGTATGAAAATTTAAGTGACAGTTTGCTATGTAAGGTTATTACAACTTTTCACTACGTCCCGGAGGAAGGACCAATTTGAATGAGTCTTTGGGAACAGGAAATAATGCTAGGATTTTTGAGGGGTTGTAAGGCTGCCCTTCTTGCTTATCAGTCTTTTGATTTCCTAAAGAGACTTTAGATGTGTCTGTTTGGAATCTCTTTAACAATGAATAATGAATGACAGCGACATGCCTGGGAAGACAGAACCTTTATTTTTACTTAAAATTTCTTCCTATTAAGGGAGTAGGGCACCATGGAACAGTGAAAAACTCATTGTTGGCCTTTGAATTGATATGTCAAAACAGGTGTAAAGAAATTCCCACTAGGGTTCCCTTCAACCCCAAATATGGCTGTAGATCTAACAGAATTTTCCTGAGAAGGAAATTAAAAGAGAATAATTGAATTTGCTTACCTGTGATGTGCAGAGGCTCTTATAGTTTTTCACAGGAGATAGAGATGTCTGTGGACAGAAGCATTGCCAGTTGTCCAAAACCCCGTTTATTTCGTCTGTCACCAAAGTGGGAGTTGAGGGTTTGGCTGACCTACCCTTTTCTAGGATCAGTGACAGTCCTCTAGGTACCATAAATCAGGCATATTTACCACTTGGCACATGAAGGAGGGCCAGGGCAGTGTCTTGGTACAGTCATTTGCCCAGAGTCCAGTCTTCTTGCAGGCTTTGATTGGCCCTGCATTTTCTCTTGGCTTATTTGGATGTGGTTTTAGCATTGCCAATTGCAGTAGCCATAATTTTGATGTGTCTCAGCCCTTTTCCTCCTACTTTAATCTGGATCCTAATTGTTGAACACAGAAAAAGCCATGTCCAGCAGTTGGGTCATAGGACTCTGGGGTCCTATCTGCAGACCTACCAGAATCTTTGGAAAATACTGGGCCTTGGGCTGGGGATATAGCTCAGCAGCAACAGTGCCTGCTTGGCAAGTACAAAGTCCTGAGTTCAATTCCTGGTACCATAACAAAACAAAACAAAAACTGGGTCTCTCTGGGGCTCCTGCCTCTGGTGGAAACAGGTGAGAGGGACCCATATATAATCCTGAGAGACAGGTGGGTGTCTGAGGATGGGATCATCAATGCCGTCACTTTCCTTCTTCCTCAGAGGCCTCTTCATGAAACAACTGTTAATCTATTAGTTGAATTATCAGGGCAAAGGAAGGAAATAAGAGACATATAATTTGAAGACTTGGTCAATCTGCCTCCCTGCCATCTAGACAGAGTTATTTGCTAATTGTTAGTAATTTGTGCACATCGTAATGAATATTTAGGGGTGATTGAATATACAGAATTCATTTTCTTTTGTATATTGTATATTAGGTTCTACCATTGTTGGAGGTGATAGGGCATTCCTATCACCTTTTTAAAATATTGCCTCAAAATAGAATACTGTTGCTTTTAGAATTTAGTTGATTTTTATCTGCAGAGAGTCATGGATAGAACTTAAAAAACCATTCATATAAATGTAACCTGTATTTCACTAGCAAAAAAGTACATACTGATTTAAAAATTTTAAGAAATGAAAAAGTAATGTAGATTTTCCCTCCTTACTATATAGATGTTTATACAGTGAAACTGGTACTTACTAAGTTAATGAAAAGGCATAAACAGTTGTTTTATCTGTTCCTGGCATTAATTTTGATTGGTTAATCAATTCTTGTTATATGTGGAGAATTCCTAGTTTTTGTTAGTACAGAATATTTAAGTGTTAATGGAATTTTGTTCTTTCTTAGGTCATGTTTACTGGTGAAAATATTCCTGTTCATCCTCATGTTTATAGCAATGGTCATATCTGTTTATCCATTCTAACTGAAGACTGGTCCCCAGCGCTCTCAGTCCAGTCAGTTTGTCTTAGCATTATTAGCATGCTTTCCAGCTGCAAAGAAAAGGTAGGAATTTTAAGAATTATTCCAGATAATGTCTTTCAGTTTAGGTAGATTAATAATTTTCATATGTGCTTATTTTTACTTGGAAGGAAGAACTTGTGCTATGCCTTTTGAAAGTATAGGGAATGTCATGATTAAGAATAAGTTAGAATGCTAAGTGAAATAAATCACTTGTGATACAGAAAATTAAATATCTCACAGTTTTCTTATATGAAAACCCCAAATACAAATAAAGAGCAAAATAAAGGAGAGGTAATAGGAAACAGGGATGACTTTTTAGAGATTTGAAGAGAATTGGGGGAAGAGAAAAGGGTAGTAAAAATGTGATATGTATATATACCAGGTCCTCAAAACAAATGTAACCTTTTTTTTTGGGTACTGGGGATTGAACTCACAACCTCATGTTTGCCAGGCAGGTGCTTATGCTGCTGAGCTAAATCCCTGGCCCAAATGTAATTATTTTGTATTATAACATATACTGATAAGTAAATTGGAATATTGTTTTTATTTTTCATTCCAAGTAGATAATTTAAATGTTCAATATATTATAAGTCGGACATACTGGGTTTTTTACACATAAATAATCTAAACTTTATTTCCATCAGCATGCACATGGTAAAGGTATATTAAAAAATTCCTTTCTTCTAGATTTTGTAGTTGAAGGCCTAGAAACATACAATATAGCATCTCTCTTTCCTCCCTTTGCCAGTTCCATACTTTCAGCCTTTTACAGGATGCCCCAGAATCAAGAATTTTCTTAACCAAATGATTATATGGAAGGAGGAAGACCATTTATCAGTACAATTTTCAGAGCTTCTCCTCTAGTTCTGCTTTTTTAAATGTCTGGTGAAGGTAGGGGAAAAAAAGACCAGAATGAAAAATTGTATGAGTTAAACTTAGGATACTCTTTAAAGATACTTGAATTCTCCCTCTTTCTGGGCCTCTTGTATTCCTGTTGAAGGATAAGTGTGTAACAATATTGATTATTTCTGTTTTTTTTTTTTTTTTTTGTCTTTTTCGTTTTTATTGGTACCAGGGATCGAACTCACGACTGCCTGCTTGCAAGGGAGGCGCTTATGCCGCTGAGCTAAATCCCCAGCCCCAGATTATTTCTGTATTTTAAAGCCTCTTTTTCCCCCTGAGGGTTTCTTTTATATTATTTACTAGAGAGTAGGGAATTGTATGTGGGCATGTGTATTCAGCAGTTTTTTTCCTCTGTCCTCCAAATCAAACTGACTGCTGTTTGTTTATTTATAATGAATAAATGGCCCTAGGGGTTGAACCCATGGCACTCTACCACTGAGCTACATTCAGGGCCTCTCCTATTTTTGGAGACAGGATTTCACTAAATTGCTAATTTCCTGGGGCAGGACTTGACTTTTTGATTCTCTGCTTGAGTCCCAAAGTGCTGGCCAGACCTCCATTGTTAATTAAATTAGAATAGAGAACCTTTATGACAGTAGTTCATATTTTAAATAATAGGTTATTTAGAATCTGAAACGAACCATTATTTCACTGAGTTTCTTGGCATGTCTGGTCCATAAGAGGTTTCTTGGTGTTCAATATGAAAAACAAAGAAAAGAGTTCTTTGTTCAAATAAGCATAGGAAATAATTGGGTAAATTGTTTTTTTTTTTTTTTAATTATAGGGTTATGAGCCCTTAGTATGCAAATTTTATATGTAAAAGAAAAAATTGGCAATTAAACTATGAAATACTATATTAAAATCCCTATTAAGGAATTTTATATCTCTATTCAGGAATATTAATATCCCTATTCAGGAATGTTAAAATGTGCAGAAAACACCTCCTCTTAGATGAAACAAGGTATACACATCTAATATTAGTACTACCTTTTAACTTTGGTTTCCTCTCTTTCGAGGGTTTTTCTAAGCTGCATATTAATGTTTTGAGTGAGTTTTTGTTGTATCTAAAGGTTTTGGAAGTAAATGTTATTAATACTACATATTTTTTTCTCTCACCCATTATCAATACACACGTTTTCAATTTTTTATGTGTAGGGAAAAGCATTTGACAGTCTCATGAGGCTTCTGTGTTTCTGTTGTGCTTAATGATCATAGAAAGATGAAATGGTAATTATGAAATATAAAACTTATTAAGAGATTATCACCAGTGATGGCTATACCAGTGCTAGCTTTTGTGTGTGCCTTAGGGTTATTAGCTTTTGTTTACATTTAAATGTAGTGATTCAGTATCACTGTGTTCTGTGTGCCTCTTATATCCTTTGTGACCCTGACTGTTCCCTCCTATTCTAGTTGTGTGCTACTAGTGTTTCCTACACACTCAGTTCAAGACTAAAATCATTCATTTAAATTATTGATAAATTATTATTATGTAACAATATATTTAACAAAGTTGATAATCTAGAAGTCAGAATTTCTGTGAAATGTGATAAAATTTGAGAAAAAATGTTTTGGATACTTGCTATTTTTACTGTGCTGAGTGCTAGATGAATGGATGAAGAAATAGTTACACATAAAAGTTCGTATTTTTTAGGAATTTTCTCAAATTGTCTTAACAGATTAATCTTTGTATACTGTAGTTGTTTGACATCTTATGCCCTACTGTTTTTCCAAAATGAAATTGTGATTAACTTCAAAAGCCATTATGAGGCTCAGTGAAGATGCTAGTTATATATTTGCATTTTAGAAGTGCCAGATGGACAGAATGCTTTCCTCCCTGCTATATAGGAATTTTTACTCACCCTTGCTTTCTGGTTGGACCTTATTTAAATAATCTCTCTTTTGATTCGTCTCATTGAGGAAAGGATTTTTTAAACCTTTCATCCTTATTTGCTTAGCTAAACATAGTTTAAGCTTAGTATTGCAAAATAAAATTTAAGAATGGGAAAAATCAAGTTGTTAGAAGAATTGTCTACAAACTTTCCTTTAGTGGCTTTGGTATAAATTTCGCATATTACCACATCCTTGTTGGAAGTTACGTATTTCTTGTGTCTGGTTAGGAAAAGCCTCTTCCCCCAACTCCTTTTAGTATTGCTGGCACCAGTGTTGCTGGTGTACTTCACCTGCAGAACTGCTCTGTTTCTCATATTGTGTTCATCAGGGCAGAAAAGCTGTCTGTGATATGGCAGGAGTGCTAATATATAGGTTTGTACATACTGTTTAGAAACAAACCGAGGTGTGGTGGTGTATGTCTTAGTCCCAGCACTGGGAAGCTAAGGCAGAGGGATCAGAAGTTCAACCCCAGCCTAGGCAAGTTAACCACTAAAGACTCTGTCTCAAAAAAAAAAAAAAAGGTTTTAGCTCAGTGCAAAAGCCCTCAGTCCAACCTCAGTACCGAAAAGAAAAACAAAAGAAAAGAAAAAAAAAGAACCTAAATCTTTTGGTCGACCCTAAGTATATATGTGGCCTGTGTGTTTCTTTTTTCTTTGTTGCAGTGCTAGCGATTGAACCTAGGATGTTTGCTTTGAGCTGCATCCCCAGATATGCCCCTTCTCTGAAGGCTAGGTCTCAGGAATGCTTTAAGTTGCCTAGCTGGGATTGAATTTTTAGTGCTCAACCTCAGAGCCCTGGGGTTATGGCATGTGCCACCATGTGACTCTCCTTTTATTTCGACATTTTTTGATGAAGTGCTGGGAATAGAAGTTAGGGCCTTGGTGCATGCTGGACAAGCTTTGTACCAACCACTGAGCTACACGCCTAAGCCTTATAAAGTTTTATAAATTATTCTGATTCTTCAGATAACCTTTTAATTAGGTAGACTTTTCTGTTCTAATTAGTTTAATTATTACAAAAATAATTATTAAATTACTTGGAGGGAGATAAGCTATAAAAAATTTTGGCTTAATCTATCTCGTTTGCTTCCATTTGGTTGATGATTATTCTCCAGTGTTACTCTTAGAACTCAATCCAGAGCCCTTTAAGTGTCAGAAAGTCTATATTTCCCAAAATACATTTATGGTTTTTATTCTTTCAGTGTTGCCATTGGGGTTGAATATGTTTAATTTAATGGTGATTTTGCTTAAAACTATCTCCCCCTTAGTTATTCTGTTTTATAACTTATCTATTTAAACTCTTTTGTTGTTGTTGTTGTTGTTGTTGTTTTTTGGTTTCAGAGACGACCACCAGATAATTCTTTCTATGTGCGAACATGTAACAAGAATCCAAAGAAAACAAAATGGTGGTATCATGGTAAGCAGTTTTAATTTGGAGTAACTTTATAGTATTTTGGTTTGAAAGAGTGTATATCTGTTTGCTAAGACTTAGGAAAGCAAAGTGAAGATATTTGATGGTATATTTTTGAAATACGGAATACATTCTGTTAAGTATTGCAAGATATTTTATGGATATATTAGACTAAATTTTTAGTGGGACAGAGTCATAGTCATTGTCCAAGTTAATATAGCATTACAGTCAGAGATGTGATGGTGCTTTCCTGTAATCCTGGTACTCTGGGAGGCTGAGAAAGGAGGATCAAAAATGACTAGGCAGTTTAGCAATTTAACAAGAGTGTCTCAAAAAAGAACAAAACAAAAAAGGGCTATCTGGCCTTGGATTCAATCCCTCTTACCCATTCCCTTCCCTGCAATTACAGGAACTACTTTAATGTCTGACACTGCCATTTTATCACAAAAAATAATTCATTTGTAGTCTGTTGCTGAAAATAGAACTAGCTATTGATGAACTTTTCAGCATCCTCTAATGCTAACTTATATAGTTGAAAGTATTTATGAGAAGTTTTTTATCTAAGATACTTTCAGAATTTACTGAGTAAGGAATGGGGAAACAATTCTACAGTAAATCAGAAATAATACGCAGTTTGGGCTGGGGATTTAGCTCACTAGTGTAGTGCCTGTCTGGCAAGCGTGAGATCCTGAGTTCAATTTCTGGTCTCCCTCTCCAAATTTTTATACATGCATACATATATATATGCATGCAGTTCACAGTAGAAGTCATTTTTTAAAGAATTACAAATTTTATGTTAGTAAGATTATAGTTTCCCGACTAAAATAAGAAGGCTTTTTTTCCTTGATAGTTCAGAGACATGTAATTTCCAGGTAAGTCAAATTCCCAAAATTAAAAATGAAGCTTTTGAGACTAAATAAACCTTTTACAATATATGCAGTAGTTAGTTTTCCCAATAAACAGATTAAAAAGTTCCTCAGTATAAATTAGTCATTTAAAAAAAGTCACTGAATTCTAATCACTTGAATCGTCACTATCTTAATCCACTTTCCAATTCTAGATAGATAATAGTTTTTCCTTTTATGGATAATACTTTTTATTTTATTTATTTATTTATTTTTGGTTGCTGATTTGCAATGACCATTCACATCTCAATATATTTTCTGTTCCTGCTTGAACTCTGAATGCCTGAGTCATTCCCATTGCAATCAAGGAATATTTCTTATTCATTGAGATGATGTAGCACCTATTGTATTATCCATCTAAGGTGGCTTTGAATTCACCTTTAAAAAGCTAAAGCATTTTGACTTGTGTTAACATGTATTTTCTTCTCGTTTAAAAATTAAAGAATATGAGTTAAAACATTTTAAATAATAGTTCATCATGGCACTGTAGTTGGATTTGGATAATCTTATTAAAAAGATAATCACAGTGTCTCTTGGAGAGCATGATCTGTCAGCTTTGTTACAATTTTTCAGATGTCAGCTTCCTACCTGTTTTAGTTCTAGATGATCTTTATTGATCATGTTTTCCTTTAACATCTAATTGTCAAAAAATATATTCTTGATATTTCTTAGCATTATCTAATTTTCAAAGGCTTACAAGGAGAGACCAACTTCTGTGTGTGACCTGCAAGCTAACCAAAAATACCAGAGAGTCAGGATGGGATTGTAGCTTAGTGGTAGGAACATGTGCTTAACATGAATGAGACCCAGCATTCTCTACAACCCAAGAAAGGAGGAATCAGAGGTTGAGATTGATTTAGAATTGGATAAATTTATTGAAACACTTAGCATCTTAGTTTCTAGAGGTCAAGTGAAATTTTATGCATCACGTATCCAGCTCACATTCATCAGGTATGCTAGCCAACATACTTGGGTCATGGTGGGTTAGAGTGTAAGAGAGGGAAGAGGGTTTTGCTTTATATAAGGGTAACACATATGCTTCAAAGGGCATTCCTGAATGCAACATGGAGAAGCTATTTGTGAAAAAGATCTGAAATTTATTTCATCTCCTTGTTCTTATTTTTTTTGGTACAGGGATTGAACTCACGACTCATGCTTGCCAGGCGGGCACTTGTGCCACTGAGCTAAATCCTTAGCCTCTATTTCCTGGTTCTTTTAAGAGGACTCAGATGATATATCAAAGTAGAGCTGCCAGATATAGGGCTGCGTTCTTGGGGGAAAAATGTCTCTTAAACTTGAGGTCTTCTACTTTATTTAGTATTCCCTGGAGAATTAGGCCAGTCATTGCTACCTTGTTATTATTGATATGCGCATCATACCTTATTTGATGCTTTTTTTGGGGGAGACAGGGTCATTATGTAGTTTAGGCTGGCCTTTAACTCACTTTGTTGCCCACCCAGGGTGGCCTCGAACTTGCTATGATCCTTGTGTGTCAGACTCCCAACTGTTCAGATTATAGGCCTGCACCACCATTCCCAGTGATATTCATCATACTTTGTTACACTGATTTCTTTTGAGATTCTTTTGCACACAATAAGTATAAAAAATAACCTTACTGATGTTTGTATAATAAAAGTTTAAAAAATGTACTGGAATGTGAATATACATATCTTATTACTTAAGTTGACTGTCAGTGTGTTTTCTAGAATTCCTAGTTTCTGAAGAACTGTGTTCATATCTACATTGGAATGCAAGTATTCCATGTTACCAGTTAAGGGTGGGATCTATAAACTTCAAAAAATCAACTGAATGATGTTAAAAAAAAACTGAATGAGGTTAAAAAATAAGCACAAATAAGTTTGTGAAATAGACAGCTCAGTTCAGCCTAAAGGTGGGCTAAGAAATTTAACTCTAATTTAGTGATTGAGACCTAGGATCCTTCTTAGAAAATAATTCTATATCTGGTTGAATGCACAAATGAATAAATTCCTGAAGTTCTTTTTGTTTTATTTTTTTTTTAATTGAGGGAGGATGTGGTTAGGAGAAGGGCCTTTACACTGAGCTACATCTACAGCCTTTTTTTTATTCTTTGAGATAAGATCTTGCTAAATTACCTAGGCTGGATTCAAATTTGTGATACTTTTGCCTCAGCCTCTCAAGAGTTGGAATTACAGGTGTGTACCACCATGCCTTGCTCCTTGTTTTATATTATTAAAAATACACAATAACTACTTTTTTTGGTTTAATTTCTGTTTGCATTTTTAAAAATTTATTTTAAAGAGAAAAATAAACAGTTTCAAAATAGGCTAGTAGAAGAGTACCAATAATTAATACATTGAGGCCTGGGATTTAGCTGAGCGGCATAAGCACCTGCCTTGCAAGTGCACTCTTGTGAGTTCAATCCCCAGTACCTAATACACGTTGCATATTGTTATCTTCATAGTAGTTACTCAGAGTGCAAGATACATGTATGAAATATTGTCCAAACAATATTAGCACAAAGCTTTCTTTTCAGTGAACTCAGAGAAACTAGCCATGTAACTATCTTAAACTGTCTTGTGTGTATATATTTTTCTTTTTCTCTTCCTTCCTTTCTCCTTTCTCCCATCGCAGTTTCTCTTCTTTTGAACAGTTTCTTCACAGTTCACAAGATCTGTTGTACATTTTTGGATCTTATTTACTCATTCAGTTTCTCACACTAGTGAGACAATATGATGTTTACACATGGAAGTCTGATTTATTTCACTTAGGAGTATGGTGTCAGTTTGCATCTATTTACATATAAAAGTCTCAAGTTCATCCTTCTTTGTGGCTGAGTAGTATTCCATTGTATTAAAAAAACCCATATCTTTTTTTTAAATCCATTTCTCAGTTGATAGGCATTTGGGCAGTTTCCAGAATTTAGCTATTACAAATTGTTTGCTGTAAACATGGGTGCACATATATCTCTGTGGTATGATTGTTTGTATTTTGAGACAGAGAGTCTTGCTATGTAGTTAAAATCATAGCCTCTCAAATACTGGGATTTACAGGCATGCACTACTACACCAAGCATAATTCCTAATAAAGGCACACAAAGTGTCTTTTTGTCAGACCGTAAAAACATTTCAGTGATTTAGATTTAGAATTAATAAGAATATGACCCTTTTTTTTTTACTGGGTCAGTATTAAGAATATCCAATTTAGTGTAATAAGTCATTGCTTTCCATATAGGGGGATATAGGTCTATGATTCTTGAAGGACTCTCCTTAAAGTGATGGGGAATGAACAAAGTTCATTTAAAAATGAACTTATAAATTCAAGCTAAGATTGCAATTGAGTGTTGGCCTTAGAAACCTAGGTTTATAGAAGAGAGATTGGTATAGTGTTTAGATGGCTTGTGTAACAAACTGAAGGGTCTATAATTTGGGAAGGAGTAGAGTAATTTTTTTTTTTTTTTTTGTCTTTTTCGTTTTTTATCGGTACCAGGGACTGCCTGCTTGCAAGGCAGGCGCTTATGCCGCTGAGCTAAATCCCGGCCTAGAGTAATATTTTTAAAAAAATGATAGGAGCCAAGTGTGGTGGCACACACCTGTAATTTCAGCACTTGGGTACTTGAAGTAGGACTGCAAGTGGAGGCTAGTTTGGGTATGTTGAGAGAGCGTGTCTCAAAAGCACCATAGACTGTATTCTCTTTCTGTCTAGCGGGAGCATTCTTATAGAATTATAAAGCCTATAGGAGAGGAACATAAAAATTGTTTTTGTTTCTGTTTTTGGGTACTGGGGATTAAACTCTCACAACCTTGCGCATGCCAGTCAGGGCTTATGCTGCTGAGCTAAATCCCTGGCTTTTTTTTTTTTTTCTGGAAGAACATAAATTAATAAATAGTATCAAACTTTTTCTTCCTACTTTATAGCTTATCTGTGGATTTACCTATACTAGTTGTCATATTTTTATTTGTTCTGGCTTTTAAGGTTGCAACACTACTTACTAAGTTCTTGAATCCAAATTTTATTTCCTTTAATGTTTTGTGCCTGCTGTTTCCTGCCAGATTTGTCTTGAATCATGTCATCAAGGGAAGATTTCAGTTCCCTTGTCTTGAGAGACAAAATATGACTGTA